TATACAAATATAATACATCATATTAAATATGATGCACAAATATATAATATGTATCAATTTTTATTTCATGGAATATGTATTAGTATTACATCACACTATTGTTCTTCAATATTGATTTTTACCGCTAATCCAAATATATTGTTCTTTTTACGTTATAACCTTTATTTAGTCCTTTATAATATTTGTTTGTTTTAATTTAGTCTTATTTTAATTTTTGGTTTTAATTTGGTCTCTAATAATTTAAATTATTGTAATTTGGTACTTCTGTTCAAATGATTTAAACGAAGTTAACTATTGACCATGTGGATGCCACGTGGATGCATAGGTGGACGCCAAATTTCATAATACACCTGGAATTAAAACGGTCCGTTCTGAAACCAGAACGGCCTGTTCTGCATGCACATGATATGTGGTAATTTTGCAATTAGAACGGACTGTTCTGAAACCAGAAGTCCAACATTGTAATAATTTAAATTATTAGGGACCAAATTAAAACTAAAAATTAAAATGAGACTAAATTAAAATAAAAAAATATTATAAAAGACCAAATAAAGGTTTTAACCTTCTTTTTATTATTGATGCATTGTACTGATTCACACCAACAAACAGCGTGTGAATCTAATTATAGACATAATCCAACATGCTTATTATTTATATATATATATATATACCTAAGATGGAACTCCTGAAGCTATTGAGATTCTGCAACATGAATTTTCAAATGTCTAATGATGCTAGTTGAGGCTAATAATGGCATATAGTATACACATGCATATAGTGGTTTTGGGGGAGATTCCACAGATCCTTTATTTAGCAATTTGATAAATTAAATATAGAGATTTTGTTGCAATTATGTTTAGCTGGTGCATGTGAACTACCCGATTGAGTACATCACCATACACAGACACGCGCATACGCACGTGTGTTTTTGTTTTTTACTCTGATTATATCCATGCATTATGAACTTTTCTGCCTACGCTTCTCTTTTTTTTTTTCTGAGTAATATAGTGGTCAACCAGTGGATGAGAGAGAACTGGATTGATATGTGTATTAATAAAATACGTAGGGGTGGCGATACAGAGCCCCTTGCAGAACATTCAGCAGCAAGCAAATAAAATAAAACATGCATGCACTCTTAAAATCGTAGTTTTGGGCAAGTTGAACTTGTATATAATAAGATGGAGGTGGATTTCCTCATGACGAGGAAATTAATATATAAATTATCAACATTTAGCAAGAATAAGCTCATCCCTTTCAGGTTGTCAATTGTCATCATGTATGTGAAACGTTTGCCCCTGCAAGTCATCTAATATATATATATACATATATGTAAGGCACAGATAGTGAAAAACGTCTACTCCTGCAACTAGTTCACATATATACACAAAACTTATAACACAATGGTTTTATCATTTCAAATTTAAGATTAAAATTAAACTTTGCTGTATGCAATTAGGCATGACAATCTAACCCGCTTCCGTAGGTACCCGCCCGAACCCGCCTCGATTTGGATGAGGAAAACTCGTGTTTATCGGGTTCGGGTTCGGGTTCGGGTTTTCCCTGATTGATAAAATCGGGGGCGGGAGCGGGGATGTTAATATCCACCCGCCCCCGCCCCACTTAATAATATAATTAAAAAATTATTCTTATATATATATAAACTAAAATTATAAATATTTATATGTAAAAATTTATATTAGTTTACTTTTTTTTATTTTTTTTTAAATTGTTCATATTTATTTAAAAGAAAAAAAGAAGAAAAAAAATAAGAGCGGGGGCAGGGAAACCCAAACCCCGTCGGGGGCGAGGATGGGGACCCAAATTTTATCCCCAACAGGTATCAGGGGCAGGGCGGGGCGGTTCAAATTTACGAAGGCGGGGG